AGTTTTCCATGCACGCATGTAAAGTTACCAGTACATGCAGAGGTCAGCAGTACAGCAACAAGCAACAACGATAGAACTAAAATAGACAAGGATGAGTTTGTTTTCGACTGATCATTCTTAATGTTTTGAAATACGCAGTTGAAATAATTAAACTTACTCTTGCAGGTACCTACATAACAACAAAATCGAACAGCTTCCGCTTGGGATATTTTCCAAACTATCTTGGCTAGATACACTGTAAGTTTGTATTGTTTTTTTTTTATTGTCTGTTGCTTATTATCGAGACTACAACACTAGCGGTCTAGTATGTGCCAGTAACCAAGTATATTATTGTTATGGTTAATTTTCTATCTCAGGTAATTTTTTTTCTCTTGTTTTTGGGTTATGCTAATAAAGTTGAAACAAGAGAAAAATAAAAATTACCTGCAGATAAAAAAATAATTACAACATACATAAGATTCCCTACGTCGAGTAACCTACGCGGCTAACATACAAGAGAGGCACGCATAAAGCCGCAAGTAGTTATACACACAAGTGCAACACGAACAGATGTGGACAACACGCATTTTAAAGTGTTACTATTTTGTTCCATTATTGCTAATTATGAATAACATGAGTGACAGTATTATTGTGCTATAATGCCTCATATTGCTGGTATGCTGAAATTGAAGAATTTTAAAAACTGTTAGTTCCTTTTACAAGGCCTTAAAGTGGCCGCATGTTAAAAACCCTTCTTCGTTGCCGTTTGAAATGTTACAAAATTACAAACATTACTGAAAGTTGGGGCAATAGACAAGAAAATGCCCATAAATCCAGGAGGGGATTAATGTAACTTGTCAAATCGCCTACCTGTCAATCTAATTTCGCAGAAATCATCCCTCCCCTCTTAAAATTTAGACAACGGGCCTTGCATTTCTTATCCTCAAAAACGCATCGCTTTACATACCGCAATTAATACTTCGCAATCCTTCTTTGATCGTGCATGGAGTACTTAATTATGGTCTATTAAGAAGTCACAATCCCGTGTATTGGCTACAGATGTAGTGGTTTTACTGGTTTCTTTTTTCGCGCTTTTAAAAATGGCGCATTTATCGTTTCTAAATGGTGCCTTCAATAGTGTCTCGAACACGACAAAGACACGATGTTGAAAATAGAAATTAAAGTACGATAATCGAGCTTCTATGCACTGTTACACATCGTGCATTGACAATCTAACGCTAAGTAATGACTTTTCATTTGTTGAAAACCATGAGCATTCCGTCAGTCAATTTTGAGCTTACAATCAAGAAACCTTGATATATGTACATCGTTAAAAGTTTCGTCCATTAATTGTTATTTAAGAGGTAAAGTGAGATGTGAGATCACTGGCAAAACTTATAATCAT